AACTAGGTTAGCAACCTCTACGCGTTTAGGGCCCTAAGGGCAGTTAGCTAAATACTAGAGGTAGTTAATAACCTTAATAGCCTTTATTAGCCTAGAATAGTAGTAATACAACTGCTTTAGCTTAGGAAGCTGCAGACATACTATAATAGGCTAGAGGAACTAAAGAGAACTAGAAGTTAAAGCTTCTAAAGGAAGCTAAGGAGGCTTATAATAATAGAGACCTAACCTTATTTAACTTATTAAAGTTAGACAGAGAAGGGGAAGTAGTACTAGAATCTACAGGATTACAAGCTGCGTTGCCTAGGCTAGAGCTACCTTATATCTTTAGGAAGAAGAATAGGTTAGACTATAACTAATAGGAATAGGATTATAAGTACTATTTTGTTTAGTTACCTTGTAAGTTTATAAATAAGACACAGAGAGTTAATTTTAGAGTAAGATATGTGTTAGAGACACTAAAGACCCTATAGTTAACACACAGAGATAAGAAAAGAGCCCTTAATCTATTCTAGACTCCTACTTAGTCCTATCTAAAGGACATAATGCTTAATTTATTAGGAACTTGCTAGGAACGGATGTAAAACGCTTATATTTCTATTAAAGAGTGTAAACAGAAAAGAAATTAGTCTCTAACAGAACTTCTTAACTTTCTTAGACTATTTTAGACTAAACTAGGTTAGAACTCCTAGGAACTCTAGGTAATAGAATATATTAGATTACTTTTAGATTCTATTACTAAAGACCTAATGCTCTTACCCGTAGATGCGCGATCTACGCTAGCACAGGTAGAGGAACAGGTAAACGTTATTAGTAGACGTTAAACTAGATATAAGGGGGCTAAAAGCTTAGAGAAGGGGAAGAGCCGTAATAGAAAGCGTTAGCGCCCTACTAATAACACATAAGGGGATGCAGGGTCCCTAAAACTAGCTAAGAGACCCTGCCTTAGTAGCAAAGGTAGTAGTTAGCCTAAAAAGGCCTAATCTAGCGCAAAAAGGTCTACGTTAGATAAATCTAAACTTACCTGCTATAAATATAGTAAGGAAGGGCATTTTGCGTAAGATTATTCTTAAGGAGATAATAGAGAAGGCAAAAGTACTAAAAGAGGGTTAGGAAAAGCTAAAGGGTAATTAGGGACCTAGTTCCCTACCTAGCTGCCTATATTAGAGTTAAAAAGGAACTTAGTAACTAGGGAATACTATATAACGCCTTATTTCCTAAACTAACGCGTATGTTAACAGTTAGAGTTACGCTTAGGGTTACTAAGGGCTTAGAAGCGTTAATAGATAGAGCATTATAATTAAATCTTATATCTGCTTAATTTGCAAAAGAACATAATCTTCTAATTTATAAGAGGGGCTGGCGAACACCTAGCGCAGCGCTAGGGTTACGTCAGCCACATAACTAGGAATTATGTAATTAGAGGCTATATAGATAGCTTAGAACTAGCAACTCTCTAGTTCCTTAGAATTTAGTCTTATTATTTCCTTAAATTAGCTTACTACTGTAAATCCCTTTATAATTCTGAATTCTCTTTAAGTGCACAGCAGCTTAGCTAGTTTATCTTAATTAAACTAAAGCACACCTTCTTTAACACCTTTATAACGGCGCTTTACTATATTAGCGCTACTAGAACAGAACTAACCTAAACTAGTGCACTAGGCACCTAAGGAGGGAGAGTCCTCTACATAAGCCCCTCTACTAATAGAGACTGCTCCTTAACCTAAGACTACCTATGCTTAGTTATTAGAGAAATACAATGTCCTACTAGCAAAACATAAAAAACAAACAAGAGATAAGGTAGCAAATACACCTAAATCTAAAGAAGAACTAAATAAACTACTACTACCTAAAGGTAGAAAAGCTTTACTAGAGCTTAGAGACAACCCTCTACTACCGCAACAACGGTAAATTAAAGTCCTCCTAACACCTATTCCCGTGCAAGGACCTAAGATTAAAAAGATACTAATTTTTAAAGGCAAGAGCATTAGGGAACACTAGGACTTCTGAATTAGGCTTAAGATAGCTTTTTAAATAGACCTAAGTGCTTTTACCTTAGAAGATTAGAAAATTGCTTATACACTTTAATATTTAACTTAGACATACTAATAAATCTAGATTTAGAACGAACAGGTCTATAACAGCGTAGCGCATACGTAGAGTAAGATAATAACCTTCTTACTAGACTAACTTAAAAATCTAATAAACTAAGAGCTTTAGATTATAATGCAATATTCTAAGGCTAAGTAGAGAGAAAATTAATTAGT